AGTAGTTTGTACTGCATTCTATTCAGGAGTCCAGGTCTTCATTCAGTAGCCATGGAGACTGAGAGAGAGATGACTAAATCTGCTGAAGAAGAAAAATCAGTCATAGTGGGCAGGCAGTTGGGTTTTTGTTAAGTGACCCATTGTGAAATGCTCCATCAAGCCGATAGTGCCTAAGTGCTGACATAGATGGGTAGAGGTACATTGTTACACAAATCATTGGCCATCTGTTTAGGGAACGTTTGCTCACAGAACAAAAATTGCTTTACTTTAGTCAAGATTTTTCGCAGAACAAATCTTCCGAGTTCAAGAAAACTTAGAAACGGGCCACTTTTCTGACACTGATATAGGGTGTCTGCCCAGACCAATGTCTCCCCCTATAATTCTCTCATTCGTCCGACTCTGCATGGTCTTGTCAGACCGAAAGGGCCTAACCCAACAAAACAAAAACAAACAAGCAGCGTGCGCCAGTCGCAGCTGGGCTGGCTGCCAGCACGTCTATGGCGGAGTGGGAATGGGCGTGAATTGATGCGTGTGCCTGTACTTTAGCATGAGTTACCAACAGTGAGCTGTTTCTACTTTGATATATTTAGCCTGACTCTGGAATAGCCACACTTCAGTGGAACGGGTCTAATTGGAACGTGAACTAAATAAATGTATAACTAAATAAAGTGGCGGTACATGCAAGGGTAAATCACTGAGCAGTTTGAAATAAAAAAGGTATTTATGGTGTGCATATGATCCATAAGCTTTTTGTCAGCGTGCGAGGCCTTAGAGCTAGCCTCCTTTGTTTTAACCCGCGCACCGACGGGGGTCTGCGCCAACTTCGCACCGACGGGGGGGGGGGCGGATGACCGCCCCCCCCTGAGATCTCGAGAACGAAGCAAGATAGCGACAAGCGGTAAACGGCATCGGATACGCACGGCCAAGATCTACAATTTTTACTAAGGTCATTTTCAGGTCAGGTCAAAGATGACGTCACAGGGGTCGAAAAAGTCAAAATGGTGGCGCTAGATATGGAGAGAGTTTTTCTCGAATAACTTTCGAATTAGTCAAGAAAGGAACAAACTAAGGGCATCATCGTGATCATCTCGTCAATCCCCGCATCGAATGATATGTATGTTGACCTCGAAAGGTCAAGGTCAAAGGTTGACCTCAGGTCACGTGACCTCGAGGTCATCATGTATATCATTCGATGCGTCTTGACGAGCTGAACACAATGAGACCATCCACGCGTCTGTATCTTGTTCCTGTACGGAGTTATTGGCCAAAAACCTTTGGTGACCTTTGATGACGTCACATGACCTCACAGCTGCCCAACAGCAAAACAGACCTCAAGGTAGTGAAGGTTGATCGTATATGAAGTCATGTGTGGTATATGGGGCCATTCCGACCCGTTTTAGTGGTAAAAACAGGCAGTTGATTTTTTCCCCCATTGACTTATTTTTGGGAGGTCGAGAAATTGACCTGACCTTAGGTCACCGATATCGAAATTCCGAGATATACAAATTGTAGCTACTAATGACCTAATATATATATATATATATATATATATATATATATATATATATATATATATATATATATATATATATATATATATATATATATATATATATATATATATATATATATATATATATATATATATATATATATATATATATATATATATATATATATATATATATATATATATATATATATATATATATATATATATATATATATATATATATATATATATATATATATACGTATCAGCAAAAGGCCATATAGGTAGAAAAGTTAGATAACTTCAGACGTTTCGCTGATGTATTCTCAGCTTCATCAGATAATACAATGGCCATTCCGTTTCGCCGAGGGATACAGTTATCGTCACCACCGAGCCGCAGTTGTCTTACAACCGCATTAACGTGCGACTGAATTTACCCGACCACTGATTTGGAGATAATCATTAGATAATCGTATCCCGGTATTGAGTAACATAGATCGTACTACGCAGACAAAAAAAAAAAAATGAGCAATACAAAATCACGTATCGTTGTGACCCGACAACTCAGGTCTCCATAGGGTCCACATTCCGGTGCTGCAGACCTAACCGTTTCTCTTGTTCAGGCTCTCACATCCTCCTCGCGTTCCCAGCAGGCTCATCCACCGACGCTCCCTTGCCCTCCGGTATTCTACATTTTGCCGCCACACGCGCTCTAACCCTACGACCCGTACGTCGCTCACGTTATGATCTGCTGAGCGGAAATGACTGCTGACAGGGAGAGGGACGGCTGGATTTTCAGCTCGTATGGAGGACAGATGATTTTGGATACGGGTATAAAGACGCCCGCCGGTCTCGCCCACATAGCATACACATTTACATACGTCGCACCAGATGCCATACACAACATTCTCACTTCTGCACCCGATTGTCCTGTCATACGTCGTTACACACCCTGGACTCACGCCTGCCACTCGCTCCACATCTCTGTACATGCGCTTGCAGATCACACACTCCTTTCCACAGCTGTCGATCTTGCGTTCAGTCCCGCTCGATACGGCACCTCTCGTTTTCCTATGAACAAGTATATCGCGTAAATTTTTACCCCGTTTGTAGGCAATCATTGGGTCCATGGAGAAGATCTGGCTCAGTCTTTCGGATCTCTGCAGTAGGTGTCTCTTGCTTTTCAACAGTTTTGTCATGTTTGGAAGGAACTGGGAAAAGGTTATGGCCATGGGGACCCGGCCTGTCTTGTTGTTCTCCGGTGCCTTACTACCTGGTTGCTTACTGCCGATCTTGTCAACCTTACGCAGCTGTCGCTCTACAAAAGGTGCCGGGTACTGTCGCTCCATCAGTCTCGCCTTCAGGTTCTCCCTGTGTCTGGTAGTCCTCCTCTTTCTGACAGATCCGTTTAAGTCTCAGGCCCAGGCCGTATGGGACCGCCTTCTTGGTGTGAGTGGGGTGGTCTGAATTGAAATGGAGATACCGACCGATTCGAACCGACCGATTCGAAGTCGTATCTCCATTTTAATTCAGACCACCCCACTCACACCAAGAAGGCGGTCCCATACGGCCTGGGCCTGAGACTTAAACGGATCTGTCAGAAAGAGGAGGACTACCAGAGACACAGGGAGAACCTGAAGGCGAGACTGATGGAGCGACAGTACCCGGCACCTTTTGTAGAGCGACAGCTGCGTAAGGTTGACAAGATCGGCAGTAAGCAACCAGGTAGTAAGGCACCGGAGAACAACAAGACAGGCCGGGTCCCCATGGCCATAACCTTTTCCCAGTTCCTTCCAAACATGACAAAACTGTTGAAAAGCAAGAGACACCTACTGCAGAGATCCGAAAGACTGAGCCAGATCTTCTCCATGGACCCAATGATTGCCTACAAACGGGGTAAAAATTTACGCGATATACTTGTTCATAGGAAAACGAGAGGTGCCGTATCGAGCGGGACTGAACGCAAGATCGACAGCTGTGGAAAGGAGTGTGTGATCTGCAAGCGCATGTACAGAGATGTGGAGCGAGTGGCAGGCGTGAGTCCAGGGTGTGTAACGACGTATGACAGGACAATCGGGTGCAGAAGTGAGAATGTTGTGTATGGCATCTGGTGCGACGTATGTAAATGTGTATGCTATGTGGGCGAGACCGGCGGGCGTCTTTATACCCGTATCCAAAATCATCTGTCCTCCATACGAGCTGAAAATCCAGCCGTCCCTCTCCCTGTCAGCAGTCATTTCCGCTCAGCAGATCATAACGTGAGCGACGTACGGGTCGTAGGGTTAGAGCGCGTGTGGCGGCAAAATGTAGAATACCGGAGGGCAAGGGAGCGTCGGTGGATGAGCCTGCTGGGAACGCGAGGAGGATGTGAGAGCCTGAACAAGAGAAACGGTTAGGTCTGCAGCACCGGAATGTGGACCCTATGGAGACCTGAGTTGTCGGGTCACAACGATACGTGATTTTGTATTGCTCATTTTTTTTTGTCTGCGTAGTACGATCTATGTTACTCAATACCGGGATACGATTATCTAATGATTATCTCCAAATCAGTGGTCGGGTAAATTCAGTCGCACGTTAATGCGGTTGTAAGACAACTGCGGCTCGGTGGTGACGATAACTGTATCCCTCGGCGAAACGGAATGGCCATTGTATTATCTGATGATATCTGTTTTTCCTGTTATATCGAAAGGGCGTCTCACCCCACCTGGGCGACTTACCTCACTCTCCCCTAAATTTGAAAGACCATCAATTATCTTTCATATGTGCATCAAAAATGACTACCTACTTTCTTCGCAAAATATCACTGGAGATCACCCTAAGATATTTTCGAGAAACGTGGCGAAGTCTCCCCGCAAGGCAGTCACCCCCGTTTACGGTACCATGCAGAAGTGAAGCTCAGAGGTCAGTGGCCTGATATGACCTGACATTGTCATAAGGTCTGGTTTGAATCATAGTTGATTTTTGCGAAATTTTAGCTCTATTACATGGATTACTTACTTGGATTACTTGGATTACTTGTTACTTCTTAGTTATCCATGTCTATTACCAGCGCTTTCTGAGCAATCGCGAAAAACCTTCTAGTGAGTACCTAGTACAGTCGTACAGCCGCACTCTCGGCTGGGCCGGTGGGGGGGGGGGGGGGTGCTCAGCCGCCCTCTGAGCTCTGCTGACCCCCTGTGCTCTGAGCTCTGCTGACCCCCTGTGCTCTTCTGCCCAGGTGCGTGGCCAGCGTGGTCACCGAGAGGGCGGCCGAGGCGGAGTGGGCGCCCCTGCTGGCGGCCGGCGCGCCCGTGCTGGCCGCCCTGGAGCGGCAGTACCCGGCACCGTTCACAGCCGCGCTGGCCTCCCTGCCGGGCGGCGCCCGCCCTGCCAGCGCCCTACGCGCCGCCCTGCGCGGCCGCCACGCCGTCAGCACAGGTCAGTCGGCCGGGACAGCAGGGCTGTGCTGCTCCCGTCAGCCTACTCAAAACTCCACTCATCCCCACTCCGCCATAGACCAGGAATTGCGCAATCAGAGGCTAGAGGGCAGGGTCAACGCAACAAGCTCAGCTTGGCAGGGACTCTGTCCTTGTGAATCCTTCCATTCAAAAGGTTCGAGCTGAATTTATAAAAAAGTTAAAGTATTCCTTTCGAATCACCGGCCAGGGTTGGCATTTCTGCCGGCAAAAACCATTTCGTGCCATTTGCCGGTGTTGACCGTCAAAAACTAGCGATAACTTTACCCTGTTAGTGGCAGGCTCCTGGCTACGCCTTTAACCCGCGCCCTGGTGGGGTCTGTTTATAACGTGAACTGGTGGGGGGGGGGGGCTATTTTTTGCCCCCCTTGTATCTCCGAAACTACTGGACGGGCTCGCAAAATTCAATCGGCGATCGAAAGCCTTATCAAATTTGTCGAGGGAAATCCAATTTCATTGACCTCGGGGTCACCGATGACGTCACAGGTCAGAGGCCAGTTTTACCAACAGAAAAATAGCCGCCTGGCGCAATTTTTCTGTTAAAAAACCGCGGAGGAGTTTCACCAACCAGGCGGAAAATATCCGCCGGCGTGAAAAAATATCAGCCAGAAAATAGCCGACGAGTTTCACCAACGGCAAATGCGGCATTAAAGGGACTATCCCACCTTTAACATGGGGTTTGAGTTAAGATAGCCAAGTTTGCGGCGAGGTTCAGAAACCACTATCTATCTAGGTTGCAACCCCCGCGGCCTCTTGGTGTTGAAGAAATTCGTTCCCTTCATTTGAAAATGGGCCTTGTACAAGGCCCTATCTTCAACATGGAGCGACCGTTAGTGTGACGTCACCTCGTTTAGTCATTCTGATTTAAATGGGTTTGTTCGTTGAAAAATCGCTTAAAACTTGGCCTGAACTTTGTTGTGGTGCCTACAGAGTAAAAAGAATCAGCTTTATGACAGTAATGTGGCCTGGGGAAGGAGGTAATTTTGGGCTGTGACGTCACATATTTGAAAGTTTGTGTTTGGAATATGGGAAGCCTAAGATGTTTAATGAAAAATAAATGCCAGAACCGTGTTCCTGGTCATCCAATCTATAAAGTCGGGCACAATTTAACTGGTTTTAACAGCATTTTAGAAGGTGGGATAGTCCCTTTAATGGAGTGCCATTATATGGAGAAAAACAGCAAAAAAAAAAAATAGACAGGTACCCCCGTCTTTTTTATGTCGCGTTGGAATAATCGACCCTATTTGTTAATTATTACCATGATTTGCGCTTCTCAATTGATATAATGAATTAGTATCATTTATGGCCAATTGGTAAAGCACCTGGGCTTCAAGATTAGAAGAGGAATATCGATATCGCGTAAAGAAAGGGCCTTCGTCACCAGGCAGAACCAAAAGGAATCAACAAGATTGGTGTTTTGGTGTTGTGTTAATTTTTTTTCGTTTTATGTTATCTAGTTGCTACAAGCAACCAACAGTAAGATGATAGTGTATTAACTAGTGGTTAGCTTACAAGTTCATTGATCGCACGGAAGTGGAAATAACGATGAAAGGTCATTTTCGAATGTGCTTGCAGAAATGCTGGAAGGAGAGAGGGTAGGCCCATAGGACTCAAGATTTTAAATAAATATGTCACTCTGTTCACATGTTTAGTTGCATTTGACATTGCAAGGCGCAGTCTACTGATACCAACTACTTTTGGGTGGAACTTGAGTTGTGCGGCTAACAGGGAAGTGCATTGACAATGCTAAGACCTAAATGGCAAGATTTTCAAGATAATGACAATGAATTTTTCAAATGTGTGGACTTTGAATTTCAATTCATCGTCACTTCGCATGATCAACACGTCTAAGAACAGGAGACGTCCACCGCTCTCTTCTTCAATGGTAAACTGTATTCAATTCAATGGTAAACTGTAAAAAGCCAAGTGTATATGTACAGTTTACCATTGAAGAAGAGAGCGTTGGATGTGTCCCGTTCTCAGACGTGTTGATCATGCGAAATGACGATGAATTGAAATTCAAGGTCAACAGAAAGGAAACAAACAAGGAGGATTACATCCATTACTACTCAGCTCATGGCGACAGAGTAAAAACAGGTGTAATAATCGGTTTTTATCTCAGAGCATACCGAATATGCAGTGATGAGTACTTGGGCGATGAGCTGGCGTACATAGAAAGTGTATTCAAGGACTTGAGGTACCCAAAAGCGATGATTACGAGCGAGCGAGCGCAGCGAGCGAAGCGGGTCTTTTCAATATAACGGAAAAATCTCAGTATGAGCGGCCCGGCCCGGCCCGGCCTGTAACGCTTTTGAGAGGCTTATATCTCAGCAACCGCTAGACCGATTGGCCTGCGGTCTTTTTTGCTGGGTAGCCCCATCCCTTCTAACCCGTAATTGACTACCTTTGACACATCTCAGTGACCGTCGTGGCACGTGCCACGTGAAAAGTCAAGGGTGTTCAAGCTGTTTTGCAAAAGTAGTGATTTTGAGAGGCTCATATCTCAGCAGCCGCTCGGGCGATTGTCTTGCAGTAATTTTTGTAGGGTAGCTGCATCCCTTCTACCAAAGGGGATACTCTTGATCTATGTGAGTGACCCCCACTGCACGTGCAAAATACAAAAAGAAGAGGTGCCAAATTTGTTCCCATTTCAATAACTCGGTAATTACTGGGGCGACTTCGCTGAAACTTGGCATACAGGTAGGCACCAACCAGGCAATGCATTCCCACGTGTTGCGGTTAGGGTGCTACTGCACGTGCGCACGTGCAGGGGGCGCTTCCAGATCTCGAGAACGGCTGGGCCGATTTCGCTCAAATTTGATACACGGTTTGGGACCAGTCAGTAGGGTGCCGTGCAAAAGTCAGTTCGGACCCCGTTTGCACGTGCGCACGTGCAGAATGCCGCCTCCAGATCTCAGGAACGGCTGGGCCAATTGCGTTCAAATTTGGTACACCGCTAGCGACCGGTTAGAAGTGTGCTTTGCACAAGCCCGTTGGAAGTACCCTCTCGCCCTTCCGCACGTGCAGGGCTCACTATCTCGCTCGCTCGTTCTTCGCCCAAAAGGCGTTTTACTGGTTATCAGATGTAAATTAAAGGCAAAGAAAATTCGTGATAGGATTCCAAAAACTCAGAAAGAGAAGAAGAACCACAAAGTCATTGTTGTGCCACATTCCAAGCATGTTGACACCACCACCAACTTTTTGAAAGGAACGGATGTGGTCGTTATAAGCAAGACGGGAAAAAGCATAGAACAAATAGTGAGAAGTAAACGGAACGCACGACATGAGAACAGCATTGTTTATATTAAGATCCCCTGTCTTGGGTGTTCCAAGCCATACTATGGCGAAACCTGTCGCGGTTTGGATATACAGCTGAGGGAACATCGGAAAGATATACAATATCAGAGAGACAAAACCATTGTAAAACACACTCATGAATGTGGAGCATTGCCAGACTGGAGAGCGGCTAAGAGTGTTAAAGAAAACATTGACAAAATGACAAGGATAGCGCTCGAGGCGGCCATTCTGGAAATAAATGAGTGCATGAACCCCAAAAGTGGTAGGATAACATTAGCAGAGACAGCCGCAAAATTTATTCTATCTGTTCATCAACTGTAATATTCTATGTGTAGGTATATATGTTACAGGCAATGTGTGGAATCAGGCATTCTATAGAATGCCTAGGCATTCTACAGAATGCCTGACCGACCAGGCATTCTATAGAATCCCTAGGTATTCTATAGAATGCCTGACCCACCAGGGATTCTATAGAATCCCTAGGCATTCTAAAGAATGCCTGATTTTCAGGCATTCTATAGAATGCCTAGGAAATACACGAATCTTTCCAACATATAAGTGTATGTTGTATAAGATTATGAGCACAGACCGACATGTAACATTATTATTTTCTGCCAGGGTACCTTGCGTTCAGCTATTTATATTCATTCAGTCAAATATTCATTCAGTCAAATTTTCCGGTCAGGTATTCAATCTGACCTTATTAGGTCAAATTGTATCAGGATTTCATTCTGAGAGTACAGAATATTTATCTTAACGCTAGAAAGACGATGGTGGTAATGTCAATATCGGAAACGCCTTTGGTAAAAAAAAAAATACACATAAAGAAATTGACAAATCGTCCATTTTTGGAGGTGTTTGCCTTCTAAGGAATTGATTTAAGGTCAAACTGAAGAAAACGGCTACGAGCCAAAAATGGACAAAAATTGGGCTGACCTAAAAAATGGCTTAGCTATTTGTTTTAGAAATGGCACTCTTTCGAACATTGCCAAAGAAGAACTGAAGTAAAATTTCATAATTTTGAGTCTTTGACGACCTTTCGAATACCGCATGGCCCAGAAGTCAAGCTGGAAGGGGAGATCGAACAACACCTAATCCGGCTCTTGTTACGGCCGGGCCACCGCCCAGACGTGGAATAATGAACCATTTATTCAGGTTATTCCCTGACATTACGGTGTAGGTTGAGCTGTCCATGTATGTATATTGAGAGTCGTTACACGAAGTGCTTATGACGACATAAAATGTGACCTTTGGTGTATTTTTCACCTTCATTTCTAACATCAGAACAAAACCATCGTCATTCGCAATCACTTTCGATTCAAGCCTACGGTCCACCCTCCCAGCCAACACTCTTCTAATACAGCTTCGTATCTGTAGCAGCATAATCCTCCGAGGGTAACCGTTTAAGCGACTGGTTGGCCTGTGGCTCTCCCGCGTGCCTTGCGCCGTGGCTCTCCCGTGCCAACGGAATTGGATCAGCTGCTGCTTGCGGCGCACCATTTGGTGGTCGGCATAGCCCAATACCTCCCTCGCTTCCTCTCAGCTCATTGCCCTGAAATGGTGTGAGGTGACGACCGGCCTAGGCCAACAATGAAAATTAGGTAAACAAATAGCATTACTGCCACTGACCCCTAATTTTCGAAGTGTGTTTCGGACAATCAAAATACTTAGGCATTCTATAGAATGCCTGGGAGCTTAAGCCAGGCATTCTATAGAATGCCTAAGCAGTCAGGGATTCTATAGAATACCTAGGGATTCTATAGAATGCCTGGTCGGTCAGGCATTCTATAGAATGCCTAGGCATTCTATAGAATGCCTGATTCCACACATTGCCTGTAACATATACATTGTACATGTTATTGACGAGGTAGGTCACGACTGAGTGTTGAACTGCTCCCCAAGAAATGTATTGCATTGAGATGTGCACGTCAAATGTTGCCGTAGGTTTTCAAGTGTTTTGAATTGAACATGGTATTTTGTGTCATTTATTTAGGACCAACTGATGACGATATAATCGAAACGCGTTTTGGTCCTAATATAAATTATTTTGAATAATTGACTTTTGGCTACTATTTATAAACACGGTTCAGGTACTGACGGATCCAGATAGGCGACGCTGCGGGGTGCATACCCCCAAAAAAGTTTCTCCAAATAAAAAAAAACTCATCGGATTTTGATTCCTTGCGATATGTTGGGTGGTTTAAAACAAACCCTTCATAATAAAAGTTTAGTTTTGTCTTATTCTCGAAAAGCCGCAAATTTCCGTCGATTTCGGGCGCTGCGGGGCATTTGTCCCAATCGCCCGCCCCACTAAATCCACCAGTGGGGTCAGGCGGCCTACCATTTCTCTATTTTTTTCTTCTAAGTTTTCAAAAAAGAAAATCATCGTATCAGGGTTGTGACGAAAAATAAGTGGCCTAAATCCGATGACAAAACAGGATTTGGGGTACCCTATTTTTGGCTTTCCCCGATTTTTAGTTTACTTTTAGTTTTAATTTCTTTTTGGTTAAGTCGTTTAGTTTAACCCTATTCCTGGCGGGGGGGGGCCTCAGGAGCCCCCCCCCTGAGGTTTTTTGGTTATTTCTCCCAAACGCGTTGAGCTAGGAAGCTCAAATTTTCTGACTTGTCCTAAAAGGCTTCTACGCAACATGTCTGAAAATTTTGAGTTGATCTGACCTCAGGTCAGGTCACCAGAGGCGGTTTGGTGACCCTACCTCAGAAAAGTTTGCAATCACGCCAGAGCTAGAGTTTTTGACCGATCAATTTCTTCTCTTCAGGCTTTAGTTAGGACACCAGTATGTGCAATTTGTATATCTCGGAATTTTGATATCGGTGACCTAAGGTCAGGTCAGTTTCGCGACCTCCCCATTATAAGTCAATGGGGGAAAAATCAACTCCCTGTTTTTACCACTAAAACGGGTCGGAATGGCCCCATATACCATACATGACTTCATATACGATCAACCTTCACTACCTTGAGGTCTGTTTTGCTGTTGGGCAGCTGTGAGGTCATGTGACGTCATCAAAGGTCACCAAAGGTTTTTGGCCAATAACTCCGTACAGGAACAAGATACAGACGCGTGGATGGTCTCATTGTGTTCAGCTCGTCAAGACGCATCGAATGATATACATGATGACCTCGAGGTCACGTGACCTGAGGTCAACCTTTGACCTTGACCTTTCGAGGTCAACATATATATCATTCGATGCGGATTGACGAGAGGATCACGATGATGCCCTTAGTTTGTTCCTATCTTGACTAATTCGAAAGTTATTCGAGAAAAACTCTCTCCATATCTAGCGCCGCCATTTTGACTTTTTCGACCCCTGTGACGTCATCTTTGACCTGACCTGAAAATGACCTTAGTAAAAATTGTAGATCTTGACCGTGCGTATCCGATGCCGTTTACCGTTTGTCGCTGCGATGTGTAGTTTTTGAGATCTGAAGGGGGGGGGGGGCCGAATCGGCCCCCCCGCCAGTTTCTTGTCCCGGCGGAGCCCGCCAGGAATAGGGTTAACCCTACATATTTTTAGTATGCCCTCCCCCGCGCTCAAGGCCTGGATCCGCCAGTGAACCCAGTAGGTTCACTTATCGTGTATGGCTACACTATTGGCTACGGATACGATTTTTGTTAACTTTGATGGTTCGAATGGTCAATGACGATGTAACGAACAAGGTTTATGCGTAATGATGCCGCGCGTTTTCCGAACTATAATTCAAAACGAGTCTAATTGTACATTTTTAGGCCATTAGAAAACTGTCATTTAGTATGTGCCTGTGTATTGTGTATGTGTCTGAGTGCTTTTTAGAAAGGCTGAAGACGAAAGACGAACGCCTTTCGAAAGCCCCCCCGTAGGAAACACAGCTGGTATTTTTTTAAAGAAAATTTACCAGACATTCATGGGTAGTTTTCAAGTCCGAAGTATTGCCTTGAGGTTCGGCTGGTTTGTGTGTCGGTTGTGTCGGCACTGTCTGTGTATGGTGTGTCGGTTGTGTCGGCACTGTCTGTGTATGGTGTGTCGGTTGTGTCGGCACTGTCTGTGTATGGTGTGTCGGTTGTATCGGCACTGTCTGTGTATGGTGTGTCGGTTGTGTCGGCACTGTCTGTGTATGGTGTGTCGGTTGTGTCGGCACTGTCTGTGTATGGTGTGTCGGTTGTGTCGGCACTGTCTGTGTATGGTGTGTCGGTTGTGTCGGCACTGTCTGTGTATGGTGTGTCGGCTGTGTCGGCACTGTCTGTGTATGGTGTGTCGGTTGTGTCGGCACTGTCTGTGTATGGTGTGTCGGCTGTGTCGGCACTGTCTGTGTATGGTGTGTCGGTTGTGTCGGCACTGTCTGTGTATGGTGTGTCGGTTGTGTCGGCACTGTCTGTGTATGGTGTGTCGGTTGTGTCGGCACTGTCTGTGTATGGTGTGTCGGTTGTGTCGGCACTGTCTGTGTATGGTGTGTCGGTTGTGTCGGCACTGTCTGTGTATGGTGTGTCGGTTGTGTCGGCACTGTCTGTGTATGGTGTGTCGGCTGTGTCGGCACTGTCTGTGTATGGTGTGTCGGCTGTGTCGGCACTGTCTGTGTATGGTGTGTCGGTTGTGTCGGCACTGTCTGTGTATGGTGTGTCGGCTGTGTCGGCACTGTCTGTGTATGGTGTGTCGGCTGTGTCGGCACTGTCTGTGTATGGTGTGTCGGTTGTGTCGGCACTGTCTGTGTATGGTGTGTCGGTTGTGTCGGCACTGTCTGTGTATGGTGTGTCGGTTGTGTCGGCACTGTCTGTGTATGGTGTGTCGGTTGTGTCGGCACTGTCTGTGTATGGTGTGTCGGCTGTGTCGGCACTGTCTGTGTATGGTGTGTCGGCTGTGTCGGCACTGTCTGTGTATGGTGTGTCGGTTGTGTCGGCACTGTCTGTGTATGGTGTGTCGGCTGTGTCGGCACTGTCTGTGTATGGTGTGTCGGCTGTGTCGGCACTGTCTGTGTATGGTGTGTCGGTTGTGTCGGCACTGTCTGTGTATGGTGTGTCGGCTGTGTCGGCACTGTCTGTGTATGGTGTGTCGGTTGTGTCGGCACTGTCTGTGTATGGTGTGTCGGCTGTGTCGGCACTGTCTGTGTATGGTGTGCTGCGTGTGTCAGCTCTGTGTCACTGCCGGCAGTGGACTGCGCACTGGTAGTGGAGCTCAGCCACCCGGACGAGTCGACACGGCGCCAGGCGGCGCGCCGGCTGCTGGCGTTACTGCGCGCCGGAACGGTAAGCCGGCCGGCTACCGACCTGATCGGCGCCACCGAACCACATGGCTGCTTACCACTCACACTTTTATGTACATTTACTATATCTTGCGCCCTTACTAGAGCTGAATTCTTGAACAGCTAATCTTCAAAAATAAAACTGAAAATCTTTGCCCGGATGTTTTGTTTTGGTGCTCTGTATGCTGTGTGTTGTGGCTGTGCCGGCGCCAACGGTGACGGAGATGCGGCGACCCTCGGTTCACTAGCAGGTGACCGGGGAGGTGGCGCGCGGCGCGCTGGCCGCCGCGCTGGCCGGCCGCTCGGAGCGCCTGGTGCGACAGGCGCTGCGCGTGCCCATCCAGCGGTGGCTGGAGCTGGTCGGCGCCGAACCGGTGAGTGGTCGGTCGCCTCCAGGCGCCCGCTCACCCTGCACCGTCATACTTTCGTCTCATTAGCTGACGCGCGTTCCATGTATTATTAACTGCCGAAACAGGGCAAAAAAAAAAAAACGGCAAACGAGCCATTGATATAACGCCGACCACTGTTTTGAAAAGCGCCGGCTCCCCTGCGTCCTTAGCGGTAGCTAGTGCTGCCACCTATGTAGCGGTGGTAAAAAGAACCATCGAGGAACTACAGATCAAGGGACTGATTCATCCATGGTAGGTCTATTAACCCGCGCCGGCCGGGGGGGGGGGGGGTGGTGTTTGAACAGTGAACATCCCTAGTAAAAAATCCAATTGGATCCAATTGGACAATCCCATTGAGCTTTCAAATAGATTGTCCAATAGGATATCCAATGGGATCCAATTAGATGTCCAATAGGATATCCAATTGGATCCAATTAGATGTCCAATAGGATATCCAATTGTATCCAATTAGATGTCCAATAGGATATCCAATTGTATCCAATTAGATGTCCAATATGATGTACAATTGAATCCAATTAGATGTCCAATATGATGTACAATTGGATCCAATTAGATGTTCAATAGGATATCCAATTTGATCCAAATAGATGTTCAATAGGATATCCAATTGGATCCAATAGGATGTCCAATAGGACATAAATGGATGCCCTATTGGACATCTGATTGACTTCAATAGGTCAGTCCAATTAGACAATTTTATTGGAAATAAATAGTACAGCCTATAAAAAAAAACTTGTTGAAAATGATCCTTTATCCTCACAGAATCCAGGAGCCTCGCTCAGTCAGCTGCTGCAGTTCGCAAGTGCACGTTCGCCTCGATCTTCATTCGGAAAGAAATAAAATGGAAAAAATGGAAAATGTATTTCTTGAATAAAATATAGCATGCATTTATCATACCTACAATGTCACAGCTTGTCACAGTCTTGTGTATAAGCTCATGTATCAGGTCATGTTCGCCGGCCAGGTGTGTCTCCGTTGGTGCAGCGGCCTGCTACACGTTGCGTTCCCCTGCAAGAAGAGTAATATATATTTCTTAAATTATAGAGTTGCTAGCACTTCGTATTCAAACTGAAAACGTTAACCTGCGCACCGACGGGGGGGGGGGGGGGGCGGGAGGGTATCCGCCCCCTGAGATTTTTTTCGCAGATAGCTCAAAAACGGCGGCGCGTACCTATTCCGACATATCGACACCTTTTTTTAAACCCCACATCCCCCTCTCCCGTGAATTTCCCGTGAATTTCCGGGAGGCACGAAAGATCTCCTTTTAAAGGTAGTGTGCCAGCTTTCTTGGACCGTATGGAGTTAATGGCCCAGATAAGGAGAACCGGATTTTTAGAACTTATCCATACCTTCAAAACTCATGGAAACGTCTTAAATTCTTCAAATTTTGAGTACCCCAGTGCGAAATTCGCCCCGACGGGTTGTCGGTCGTACCCCAACCACATTTCACACCACTATGAACAATAAATGCACACACTGAAATCGCTATTACCGATATGCTCATCCAATCAAGTTTCGATAAACCCGTTCATCATCATCTCCTGCGGTTTCGAACACGCCTGTTAGGTGGCTTCTGATGCTCGTCGAGGTCGGAATTTCCAAATACGCGTGGTGCGTCGGGCCGCGCGCTCTGACTTCGGCCAATAAAAATGCGTCAGCTGATCATTGTCATTTCTGCCACTTGCGTGTGGTGAAATGGGGTCATAACTTTTAAGACGGCTTTTTCATATCAATTATTTTACATAAAATCATATTTCAAACCATAAATAATGTTCGACAGCCAAATAAAAGAAACAGTACCAATACGGGCTTACAGTTTAAGGCTCGACATCGTGTTGTCTACGATTAGACAGCTGATAACTCATTCCCGTACGTCGCATGGTCGTAACACTATAATGACCTTTGCTTATTGTCACAAGTGCGCCGCATTCGCGATTGTTGCCCGACGCCTGTTTGCAGGTGAGCCCACTACAGTTGTTATACATATCTAAAAACCGATAAACTTTTAGGCGAAAAAGGCACTATTCCAGGCCCATTTTTTATTTTTTTTTGCGATATTAGGTAAAAACAGAAGCTTCTTATCCTAGGAAAAATAAAATGGGAAATCTTTCAAAGGTGGCACACTACCTTTAAAAGTGCCCAATCGTCCGATCCTGATCAAATATGTGTGTTCGTAGGCCTGTTCTGGTATTGCTTGATCTGCCAAGACAGACAAACTTGAGAAAAATCGAGTGATTGTACCTTTTTTGAAGGTCTCTAACCAACTTGTCTGAAATTCACAGGAGAACAAATGTGGGGTTTAAAAAAAAGATGTCGATATATTCCGTATAATGTGCCAAAATATTATCCCCATATCACCAAAGGTCAGGTCACCAGGTCAGGTCGTGACCTTACCTCAGAACGTAAATTTTTAAGTTTGCGGTCCCCCAAGGTCACAGTTTTTCACATAGGATCTTGACATTCACCGCAAGTAACAATTATATCAAGGGCTACAACTTGTATATCTCGGATTTTTTTCATATCGATGACCCAAGGTCAGGTCATTTTTGCAACCGGCCCATCATAAGTCAATCGGAGAAATTTCAACTTGCTCTGAGTGCCATCCTATGACTTCAATATGCTCAAGATCATGGTATTACAGGTCCCTGGCGGTGATTCCGCCGAAACATATCACTTGTAGCGTTTGGAAGGTGATCCCCAGGTCATCCGAGGTCACCTGAGGTCACCAACGTTTTTTTCTGCAATAACTTTTGATTGAATGGTGATAGACTTCAAACGACATCCAATGTGTTCGTTTACTCAATGCAAATCGCTTGATATGCAACACGACCTATTTGGGTCAGGTCATGACCTTGACCTGAGGTCAAATTCTTGACCTGATGTCAGTTTGACCTTTCGAAGTCATATGATATATCATTCGACACGCCTTGACGGGTCAAGAACAATAGCATTTGAATCGTTCCTCTATCTTTTCGGGAACAGAAGTTTTAGCAGAAAAAACTATTGCGAAATTTACGTTGTGAAAATCGTAACATTTTGTCTTCGGTGACCTCTGGTGACTTTGTTTTTTACCTGACACAAAAATGGCCTGGTTATTTCCTCTAGATCTTGTCTCGCCCTATACAACGCCGTTTGCCGCTTGTCGCTACGATGCTTAGTTTTCGAGATCTCCGGGGGGGGGGGGAGGTCCGATACCGCCCCCCCCCCCGTCGGAACTAATGTGGCTCAGACCCCCGTCGGTGCGCGGGTTAACCCCATGGGTAAGCGATGAGGTCTTCCCAGCAGAGCGCGGGTTACTCCCATGGGTAAGCGAAACATCACTGTCTGTCGCACGACAAGTCACAATCAAAGCCTGGATTCACCTATATTGATGACTGATTTACAAGGCACGAATTAGGCAAACAGATTTCGGATTTGTTTAACCATTGCACCTCTTATTATTAGGTAGGTACTGTCACACTTACCGGCCTCATCGTCGGTGTGGGTCTTCGACCTCCGTTTTGCCACAGCCCTGGCATCCACACACGCCTTTGATATGGCAGTCGCTACCTGACTTCTTCATCTTCATGTTGGCCTGGCAGACAGCTGCAACAGTCGATATTATCAACAAATGTACATTCATTTAATCGTATAGACATCTACTTTTAAAATGTGGGATGGGAAGCTCAAGCAACTGGCAACTGATTAAGCGACGTGTGACAGTTTAAGGTAAATAATGCAGCAATGACTTTGTTTAATCGTTAATCATGAATTGTTAATTAATCATTTCTTTCGAGAAGGTCGTTATATAACCAACGTTTCGCGGTGTAATGGCTTTATCGAGGGTTACACACAAGCAAAAACGGTAAAAACACTGATGAACATTTCGCACCCGCTCGATTTTATCGGCCTAGGACCAAAAATTATACCGCCAATCGAGATATCTCGTTGAGAGCAATAACGACTTTAAGTAATTAACGATTAATGCCCGTCGGTAGCCGTGACTTTGCGGACTTCCGATGCTCTCAACGCGTCATTACGGAGCGAGCGAAGCGAGCGGAGTCTTTCCTTAGATTAACGGAAATTTCTGAGTATGAGCGGCCGGCCGGCCGGCCGGCCGGCCGTGCGGACGCTTTTGCGAGGCTTATATCTCAGTAACCACTTGACCGATTTACACGCGGTAATTTTTGTAGGGTAGCTTCATTCCTTCTACCAAGTATTGGACTATTCCCGATGCATGTGGGTGACCCCTTATGCACGTGCCACGTGCAAAACGAAGAGGTGTCAGTTTGGTAATTGTTGCAATATCTCGGTAACTACTTGGCCGATTGCGCTGAAAGTTGGCATGTAGGTAGGCACCCACTAGGCACTGCATGTCCATGTGCCAGAGTTGGGGTGCTGCTGCACGTGCGCACGTGCAGGGGTCGTTTCCAGATCTCGAGAACGGCTGGACCGATGGCGCTCAAATTTGGTACGCGGTTAGGGACCAGTTAGTAGGGTGCCGTACACAAGTCAGTTGGGACCCATTTTGCACGTGCGCACGTGCAGGGTACCGCTCCCAGATCTCGAGAACGGCTGGGCCGATTGTGCTCAAATTTGGCACATCGCTAGAAACCGGTCAGTAGGGTGCCGTGCACAAGTCAGTTGGAGGTACCCCCTCGAAATTTCGCACGTGCAAGACTCGCCCCCTCGCTCGCTCCGTTAGTCGCCCCAAAAGGCGCTATACTGGTTTTATTACGGAGCGAGCGAAGCGAGCGTAGTCTTTCCTTAGATTAACGGAAATTTCTGAGTATGAGCGGCCGGCCGGCCGGCCGGCCGGCCGGCCGTGCGGACGCTTTTGCGAGGCTTATATCTCAGCAACCACTTGACCGATTTACACGGGGTAATTTTTGTAGGGTAGCTTCATTCCTTCTACCAAGTATTGGACTATTCCCGATGCATGTGGGTGAACCCTTATGCACGTGCCACGCGCAAAACGAAGAGGTGTCAGTTTTGTAATTGTTGCAATATCTCGGTAACTACTTGGCCGATTGCGCTGAAAGTTGGCATGTAGGTAGGCACCCACTAGGCACTGCATATCTATGTGCCAGAGTTGGGGTGCTGCTGCACGTGCGCACGTGCAGGGGTCGTTTCCAGATCTCGAGAACGGCTGGACCGATGGCGCTCAAATTTGGTACACGGTTAGGGACCAGTTAGTAGGGTGCCGTGCACAAGTCAGTTGGGACCCATTCTGCACGTGCGCACGTGCAGGGTGCCGCTTCCAGATCTCGAGAACGGCTGGGCCGATTGTGCTCAAATTTGGCACATCGCTAGAGACCGGTTAGTAGGGTGCCGTGCACAAGTCAGTTGGAGGTACCCCCTCAAAATTTCGCACGTGCAAGGCTCACCCTCTCGCTCGCTCCGTTAGTTGCCCCAAAAGGCGCTATACTGGTAGGTATGATATTGAAATACACATCACACGACAGGGAAAACTGATCAAGGAACATGATAGTGAATGTCTGAAGTCAATATATCTTTCCGTTTTGTCGCATTACCACAGTAAGTTGAAAATAGTTGGATTGTTTTCGAAAAAATGAATTGTTAAAATAGGTCAAATATTGACCTAGGGCCAAAAAATATACCGCCAATCGCGAGATCTCGTCGAGAGCAATCCGTTAGTCTTTTCCGCTAAGCTCTACGTTCCGGTTCCAAACGTGAAAGGGTGGGGTCGCCCCCCCCCCCCTGCAAGAGCGCAGCGAAGGCAGCAAAACACGGAGGCGAGGGTAAAAAAAAAACACTCACCAATGACGTCGTTCACAATCACCGGATCCAGGCGCGGCCTTGCCTCCTTCAAAGGGTGTGCGTTTGAAGGCTGTCCCGTAAGGCTATGGGTGGCCAGCGTCTCCTTCCCGACAAGTTTCGTTATGAGGGACCTGACCACCAGATGTTGCGTCTTTGGGGTAGCCCCCCAGTTCATTGTCTTGAACGTAGTTTTATCCATGTAGTTAGGTGCTGCTGCCGATAAGAACGAAGAATAGTAAAGACACTATAGCACAGAACGCGTCCGAGAATGTTAATTTCCACTGATATGAAAAGCGGTGGGACTTCCTGACAACCCCATGGTAACATTTTGCCCTATTACCTTCTCAGACTCTCGCTGGAAGCGTGGGATTTTTTTTCGTGGGAACCACCGTGGGAAAATCTGATAGGCGATTGGGTCATTTCAAAACATCCAAATTTAGTTGCTTTGGTGGATTAAATTGGGCGTGTCTTGCAACAACCGTGAAGCACACCTCCCGACCTATGCCTACATCATGTTTTGGTTGCAATAACTATTGGTAACATATGGGAAGATACAAAAAAGATGCAAAGTTTCTAACGAAAACTATGAGACGTACCTAAAAGTTTTGATTTCAAATATCGACAATATGACCCTAATAGGAAGCGTCGAACGTGAAAAGACATTTCTCTGACAGGTAGAATAGCACTAGTAAGACGCCTTTATGGGCGTGAGAATCACATTATAAGTTATAATGTGATTCTAACCCTCTCCATTATAAGTTAACCCACGAGCCGCTGGGGGGGGGGGGGGGCATAAAGTTGCCCCCCCTTTACGTTTTGTATATCTCCGAAATCTGATGAGCTACGAACGTGAAACTTGGCATAGCTTCAAATGAATACCTAGGCAATGTTTGAGGAAAGTTTGCTGGTTGTAGCACCTAAGATGACGTCACAGTGACGTCATAAAGTTTTTTCGTTTTCCAATATGGACCGTTTCTGATGACGCTGAGCATGAAACTCAACTGTAAATGAACTAGACAGCACCTGCTGTCATCCTAAAACATCTATCTACACTTCCATCTAGTTTCTGACCAATAATCGACCCTTTATATTCGGTCCCATATATCTGATGTATCGTGAGGAATATGAGAGTCGCAAATCTATACTTTCACTTATGACGTCACTGTGACGTCATTTCAAATGGGATCGACACCAAATTTGGACACAACCTCGGCTAGGTATTCCGAAAGATGTGTGCAAAGTTTCGCTTTTCTATCTCTTCGCGTTGCGACGATATCGTCGCAGAAGTAAAGGGGGGGCAACTATATGCCCCCCCCCCCCCAGCGGCCGGCGGGTGGCGCGGAGGCCCAGCGGCCGCCGGGTTAAAGGGACTGTCCCACCTTTGCATTAGTTCTGAGTTGAGATAGCCAAGTTAGCGGCCAGGTTCAGAAACCACTATACATCCTGGTCGCAATATCCTCAGTTTCGTGGTGCTAAAGAAATTCGTTCCCTTCATTTGAAAAGTGGGCCTTAGCTAAGGCCCTATCTCTTAACCCTCGCCCGTATAGGGGGGGGGGGGTCGAACGGACCCCCCCCCCCCATGGTTTTTCGCGAATAACTCGCGTAAAAAGCGGCTGATCGTGACGAAACTTTCAGTACCCTCGCGTTCATCAATTTTACACCTACCCTGAAAATTTCATGACCCTGACCCAAATGACCTTTGACCTGTGACCTACTTTTCGAGACCATGTTTGGCCGGAATCGCGATTCGGCGTATGTCGGCTCGCATTAGCCGCGCGTTTGCAGTCTTTTCGTGGTTTCAAGCGTTCAAACATGTGATATGATGTTGCCCCCATGCATTAGGGTGGGTGTCAAGGTCACCTGAAGGTCAGGTCAGGTCATTGACCTTTGATGACCTCGGTTCACTTTTTCGAGTTTTACATGTTTCTAGGCCAGTTTTTAGAGCTGAATTCGAATTTAGCAACCATATGAACATTTACGAAGTAGTTTTGGTGCCTTCGTAACATGTTACGAAGCTGTCAGAGGCGGTTGCCACCTACTACGAACACCCTTACTGGTTGACCTGACCTGACCTGACCCGACCCGGCCTAAATGCATGAAGACATCATCTGTGATCAAAACTAACATGATATTCGTGATCAGCACCCCGAAAAACCCCATAGCAGCCACACTTTACGACGTTCTAACAGGTCCCGATTTTCCCGACTTTTGGGTCATTGACCTGACCTGCAAGGTCAACCAATGACCTAGGACCTTAAAATTGGGTATCATCGGCTTCCTCTCGTCACGGGCAACACGCTCGTTTTTTCCGCGAAGCTCTAGCTCGATCAGGGGCGAAACGGCAAGGGGGGGTCCAACGGACCCCCCCCCCCCCCCCCTTATACGTTCGCGGCTGGAAAAACACCAATACGGGCGAGGGTTAACTATTAACGGCCATTTGATGACGTCATTTGCATTTTGAACGCCTGTCACGCATGTGAAGTTTCACTTGATTTACGAATAAGCTAATCAGAGACACTTGTTATTGTATGAGCCGCGTCATATTTGAGAGCAAATACCTATATTTGCTGCCAAATTTCCCCCACATTGACATGAAGTAAATCCTTCATTACGTCACAGATCCGATCTAAATGACGTCACGATGAAATATTAAAGTCGCAATATCTCAAAAAGTATACAATGAAAACGCGTAAAAACTTGCAGAATTCGTCACAATATCATGAGTAACATTTCCGAATCCTAAATGGTACTTTTTTGAAGGTGGGATAGTCCCTTTAATGGGGGAAATTTAACTTCTGCTGAATGCAACCCAATCCCCACAATATGCTCAGGATCATGGTATTACAGGTCCCTGATGGTCATTCTACCGAAAAATATCACCGGTGACCTTTGGAAGGTGTCCCTAGGTCATATGAGGTCACCTGAGATCAGCAACGATTTTTCTTCGATAACTTTTGCTTGAAAAGAGATAAAGCCTCCGTTGGACGTTTATCGTGTTTGTCTCGCCATTGCGGATCGAATGAATTTTCAACTTGACCTTTCCAGGTCATATTATATATCAATCGATGCGCCTTAACGAGCTAAGAACAATGGCGTGAGAATCGTTCCTCTATCTTGTCTGGGTATAAAGTTATTTAAGAAAAAAAAAACTACCAGAAGTAAAAATTAACATTTTTCTTGGTGACCTCTGGTGACCTAGTTTTTGACCTGACCGAAAAATGACAGAAGTACTTTCTTACTGGTTTTTAACGCTCTTTCGAAAGCCGTCTACCGCTTGTCTCTACGACGCTCAGGAGTCGAGTTAGACGGGGGCGTAAAACCGGCCCCCCCAGGCCCCACCCCGGCCCGCTGCATTACAGATGGAGCACCGGCCCGGCGCGGGTTAAAGAGATGTCCAGAGCGCTGTTCGGCTGCTGCTGTTTTATCAGCAAGAAGTAGTTCCACAACAGCCCACCAGAGGGATTTCCATTGAATCGTGCTGTCAACCATATTTTCCTGGCGCTTCTCGGCCGCTGATTGGTTGACAGCACGATTCAATGGAAATCCCTCTGGTGGGCTGTTGTGGAACTACTTCTTGCTGATAAAACAGCAGCAGCCAAACAGCGCTCAGGTGCGTGCTGTACATATACAGTGTATAGGCAAAGCCGCAGCAAATTAATTTGTGATAAATTGTTATTTAACTATAAAGGGGGTAAATAAGGTAATGCTAATTTCAATGTTTGAGAGATACTGTCACCATTTTTCACCTTCACCCCACCATTCTTCACTCCTGCAGAGTGCAGTAGAAGTTTAGTTATTTTTACCCGCACACTAACTGGAGACTGATCCACCTTAGACAATAGACAATAGACATTTATTTCGCACAAGATCCGACATTTCGGCTTTTCACGTGTACACGTCTGTTTTTAAAACACAATAAAAAGGAGTATAAAAGGGGATACAAGCCACTCTCACGCTTTCAAAACAGAACACCATACAACATTCACGACACACCTAAGCGGATTAAGCCCTCATGTTCCGATACAGCGCCGTCCTGAAAGACTCTCGAACACGTCTGTTTTGGCACACGTCGTTATACAGTTTCACTCCGCTGTACGCGAGTTGGCGCCTGCCAGTCTCCGTTCTAATGGCAGGGGGCCGCAGCTGGTTGTTGTGTCGTGTTTGATGTTCATGTCTGTGGTCTGTGGCAGCGATAATCGAGTACAATGTTTCTGGCAACTCCGATGACACGACTCTGCGAACCATCTGTGCCCGGTGGTACTGCGCCAGCTGAGATGACGACAGCCAGTTGAGACTCTTGAGTACTTCAAAAATGTGATCAAACTTTTTCTTTCCACTGATGACTCTGGCACCGAAATTTATGATTTTTTGAATTCTTTGGAGTTCCGTCTTACTGCACGTGCCGTAAATCGACACACAATACCTAATGATGGACATGACCAGCGCAGTGACTATTGACTTCAATGATGCCCTCGGCAGAGAATGTCTCGCATGAGTCAGCGCCACTAGACTGCCGCTGCACTTTGCCACTACGTGGTCGACGTGGTCTACAAAGGTCATGTGCCTGTCCATATAAAGCCCTAAGTTTTTGACCACTCTCGATTCCTGAATCGTTGTTCCACAAAAATTGACTGATATGCTCGGCTGGTTTTTTAACATCGCCTTGGTTCCAAAGACGATCATATGCGTTTTGCTTGCATTCACTTTGAGACGGTTTTCGTTAAACCAATCTGAAAGCTGGCTAAGGGCACGTTCAAGTTTCACAATCATATCAGACAGGTGTCTCTTTTTGCCAGATATGAGTAGCTGCGTATCATCAGCGTATTGAATGATTTCGACTCCGTCAATATACAGACCCATATCGTTAACGTAAATGGCATATAGCAGACAGCTCAGCGACCCACCCTGATACACTCCTATGTCATTGGGTAGTGTGTTTGACATGATCGGTTCACCCTCGCTCCCACTAACTTTGACCTGCTGAGAATGACCAGCTAAATAGTTTACGAACCAGTTCTCATCGATTCCATAGAGTGCCAACTTCGCTAGCAGTCTGTGGTGGTCAACAGTGTCGAAACATTTGGAGAGATCCAACATGACCAATATACTGATACAGCCCTCATCCATCCCCCGATAAATGCGCTCAGTCACTACAGCTAAGGCGGTTTCGCTCGAGTGTGACGCCCGGTAACCGTGCTGGTTCGGTGTGAACAGACAGTTATCCCTAAAATACTGAACCAGCTGTCGCTGCACTATTTTTTCTATAACCTTCATGATAGCCGGTAAAATTGATAAAGGGCGATAATGAGATGGCATTGACGCGTTCGCAGTTTTTGGCAGCGGCGTAATTACGGCATGTTTCCATGACTTTGGGACTTCTCCACTACTCAAACT